CGCGCCCGCCCCCTCCCCTGCGCCCCCCTCCCGGCCCTGCCACACATGCACTTGCTGCGGCTCGACCGCCTCCTCGGCTCGGCTTAATTTCTATTTTGACAGAAACTGTGGCGGGTGGGCGGCGCTGCGGGGGGCGCCCGGGACTTCGCGGAGGCGGCGGGCGGCAAGGCAGGACGCGGCGCGGGGGCGGAGTGGGGGCCCGGGCAGAGCCACCAGCGGCTCGGGGCTCCGTGTCTTTTTTTCTTTCTTTCCTTTTTTCTCTTTGCCTCCTCCAGGATTTAAAGGGACAGCCCCGGCCGAGGCGAGGGACCAGGCGGCCGCCGTTTCTCCGGTCTCCTGACGCCCTCTGCGGCCGGGCAGGACCCGCCCGCACCCGGAGCGAGGCTCCAGACCGCTGGGTATTTTTAGGCCCACACCCGGCCCGGGGCAGTGGGGTGGCCGAACTTGGCTCGGGCGCACGGCTATTTTTACAAAGGCCGATTAGGGGAGGAAATAAAACAACTCAGCAACTGCTTTCCCACCCGAAAGCTGGGAGCAAGGAGTAGAGGCGAGAAGTTTCCCAAATGCTCTCGGAATTCCAGCGAGCTCAGAAACACACTTCGACACGAGAAACCACGGGCTTGCAGCACTCCAGGGCGCCCAAATCGCTGGGGGCAATCCGGCCCTCGAGGCCACTGGGGCGCGAGGTGCCCCCCGCAGGCTGGAGTCCCCCGCATCCCGCACACTGCGCGCTAGGGACTGTCCCCTGGCCACCGGTCACTCCCCTGGACAGCCCAGAAGGGGGCCTTCCGCAGCATCCAATCACTCAACCAAGGGGCGGTCCCTGGGAGGGCTTGGCTCCGCCTATCCCGTCAAGCCCCGCCCCCGAGGACACTTGACTCGCCCGAGACTTTCCGTGGGACTCTCAATGCAGAGTGGTGACGGACTGCACAAAAGGCCCATCCTAGGGAAGAGGAGGGGAGTCTCGGACCTGGAGGGACGGCGTGGGTGGTCGCGGGCGAGGCAACGTTCGGGCAGACGTTCTGGCCACCAGTACGCAGGAGCTGGCTTTTCCCTCTACCTTTCTGCAGCCCACGCCTCGGCGCTCCTGACAGACGTAGGAACTTTTGCCCGCCCTGGCACTACATCTGCGACTGTACCCTCGGATGTCAGCTAGTCCTCTCCGGGACTCCTCCTTCAGACAGGAAAGTTTGCGATCCTCAAACTCCTACAGGGGCCTGTGCTTACCTGAGCCGCGTCGCGTGCGCCCAGGATAGGCAAGAAAGTGAATCCCTCCCTCCTGTCCCCATGGGGACATCGACTAATGAAAGGGCAGTGGGGCTGCTGCTGTTTGAGTACTGTCTTTTAATATTAAAGATACCCGATGACATCCTCTACAGAATTCACAAAAATAAATTTGTGGACCTTTAACTTGGCACTTCTTCCCAGTGTTGCTCATTCAGATTGTTTTTATCCGTTCATTCATTCGTGTAATAATTGCACTATTACATGGCACCACGCCTTGTGAGTAGTGAAGACAAGGAAAAACACCCTGAAATAGGACTGACAGCACAAAGCAAGGCACTCACGTGAAAGGGGGATCTGAAACATAGGGTCGTGTGGTCGTGTTTCATTTTCCAGAGAGGCCTGGCTTAAGTAAACGTCATTCATTCAACCGTTTGAACAACCACCTATCTAAACCGTTCACAAGAACATATAAATCTAGAGAAGTCTGTCCTGGAAACTAAGAAATTTTCAGATTCAGAGTGTCAGGCTTCCAAATTGCTAGAGCTTCCAGTGGCAAAATAATATCCTTGCTCTAAGCAGTCCTGGGAGCCACTGCCCTCCCAAATTAGGTTGTCTATCTCCCTGCTAAATTAGGTTGTCTGTCTAGTTTCCTTTCATGAAAGAGTCTTCAGCCACTTGGAGTACTGCTGGCCCTTCTGACATGTCAAGCTTCTAAGCCAGAGCACGGGGGTGCATTTAGGGAGTACCTGGAGGATCTCAGTCCTTGAATAGAAAGACACCTGTAGACAACAGGAATGCAGTTCTGGAGGTGAGGGCAGCTACAGCCATGGCAAGGGTGTTTTGCTTAAGAAAAGAGGGATGTGGGTGCTAAATTAGAAATGCCTCTCTAAATCAGTAAGGTTCTTCTTCCTTCTCTGGATTCAGTTGGCTCCAGAGCAGACATCCGTTCCATCGCTGTCACTAAATGGTTTTCCATGCCATGAGCTGTAGGAGGAGGGTTCCATGTGAGCTTCAGGTCTACAGAATCTAATCTAATCACCACAGGCAAAGTTTATCAATTGAAGAGCAATCAGGATGAGAATAGTCTGCATGAGTGATATTATAGAATATTTTTAATGACAGCAACTATTCAATTGTGCTTATAATTTAATTTTTGTTCAGTTATCTTTTTTCCCACAAGACTTCAAGCTCTGTACCCATCTTGGTGTCCTCGGTGCCTAACATATACTCAGCACCTAATAGGTGCTCATTAAAAGACTGATGAACTGAATGAACGAAGTCCTTTTAGAAAGGTGGAGTAGGTGTGGTAACACATAAGGACAGCTATCTAGTGACTTTTGTAAGACTCTTGTGCAATCTACTTGTTTATATGTAGGTGCAACTACAGGCAGTCCCCGACTTAGGATAGTTCGACTTAAAATTTTTTTACTTTACAATAGTGCAAAAGTGATATACATTCAGTAGAAGCTGTACTTTGAATTTTGATCTTTTCCCGGGCTAGTGATATGCCTTATGATACTCTCTCGTGATGCTGGGCAGTGGCAGCAAGATGATTTTGCCCAACTGTAGGCTAATGTGAGTCTGTCTGAGCATATTTAACATAGGCTAGGCTAAGCTAGGTAGGTTAGCTGTATTAAATGCATTTTCAACTTACGATGGGTTTACTGGAAGATAACCCCATTGTAAGCTGAGGAGCATCTGTATAAACTTTGCCATAAATAATAGGATTTACTGGTTCCTGCCAGGCTCTACTACTTATCAGCCATGTAACCTAGAAAAGGATGTCATTCATCTCCTCAGAGCCCCTGTTTCCAAATCTATAAAAAGGAGATAATAATGGGGTGTTTTCTACTCCACAAAGATGCTGCGATGACCAGGTGAGAAAAGGCTTGGACTAGTGTTACATTCATTAAGGGGTTCCTGTGTGTCAAGCACTGTGAAGCACATTGTAAATTATCAATAGTAGATGCTGGAATAAATTTTACAGAAATTATCGAAGAACTGAGTTCAAATATTTACCTATGTCCCAAGGGTAGTGAGAAGCTGATTCAAGAAAAGAGAAAAGAAGAGAATTACAATTTACAGAGCTCTTTCTAGAATCAGAACTCATGGTATGCATTGTTCTATGTTCCTCATTACAACTCTGTGCAATACATTTTGTAATGACCATTTTATAGGTGAGAAATCTGATACCAATAGCAATGGTAGTGACCAAGGGGGTATCCCACAGCTGGGAAGTGGCAGAGGCTGCCCTGGGACCCAGGGTTGTGAGTCAGGAATTCACCAGCCTCACCTCCTGTGGTGCTGCCTCTAGAGGAGAAAGAAAGAGTGGCTTTGAGGAAATCAAGGCAGGAGTGGATTTCAAGAAAACAGTGGGTCCATGTTACCACAAGGCAGGTTGGGGGAGGTTCAATCTTAGTTGCAAGGAACATCCTGGAAAAGGTGGCATTTGACTCAGTCCTTTAAGTTTGGATGAGTTCTTTCTCTTTTTCTAATTTTTAATTTTGAAAGAATTTCAGATATTCAGAAAAGTTACAAAGGTAGTATAAAGACTACCTTCACCCAAATTCCCCAAATGCAAACATTTCCTACTCTCTCTCTCTGTTTTATGTCCTGCTCTCTATACATTTTATTTTTCCCTGAACCATTTGAGAATAAGCTGAAGCCATGATGCTCCTTTACCAAAAAATTCTTCAGTGAGTGTTTTCTAATAAGGGCATTCTCTTACGTAGTAATCAAAATTGGGAAATTGCCACCAGTGCTATTATCTAATCTAAACCATATTTGGATTTTGCCAATTGTCTCACTAATGGCAAAAATGAAAATTCTAGGGGCCGGCCGAGTGGCTCAGTTGGTTAAAAGCTCACGCAAGAGTGCGAGCTCTGAGCAACAGCGGTTCGATGCCTGGCCCGAGCTGAGTTGCCACTGAGCTGCCAGCAGGTGGCAGGATGGCTCAGCTAAAAAAAAATGAAAATTCTGCTCAGGATCCAATTCAGGATTACACATTGCATTCAGTTGTCATACCTCTTGGGAGGGTATTTTTATTATTAAAAAGAAATTTTTATCAATTTTCTTTTTTTCTTTAAAGATTTTTATTTGGGAATTGGGGAGGGGAACACTGTGTTTTTCCAGGACCCATCAGCTCCAAGTCAAATTGTTGTCCTTCAATCTTAGTTGTGGAGGGTGCAAGGTCAGCTCCAAGTCCAGTCACCACTTTCAATCTAGCTGTGGGGGGCCGTAGCCCACCATCCCATGCTGGAGTCGAACTGGCAACCTTGTTGTTAAGAGCACATGCTCTCACCAGCTCAGCGGCAGCTCAGCTTGGGCGCAGCTCACGGGCCCATGTGGGAATCAAACCAGCAACCTTGATGCTCAGAGCTTGCACTCCAACCAACTGAGCTACTCAGCCAGCCTTCATTTCTTGTTTTAAATGGCTGTACAGTTATGGTCCATATGGGGTCACAAAGACTCGCTCCTTGACCAAACTTTAGACAGCCTCCTTTGAGCCCTCTTTTTGACTAGGCCTGACCCTTTGGCCCTGTATTCTCCTGCTTAGTCTAATTGTAGCAAGAATCCTGCTAAGTCAGTTTAGTGAGACTCCCCCCATCCCAGTCCCCCCAAAATCTGATTAAATTCCTCCTCTCCCACCTTTGACATCTCTTCAAGGCCTGCCTTTCGCAAGAATCCTGTTAGGTCAGTTTAGCAAGAATCCTCCTGCCCCTGATGTCTCCTTAATAATTTCCATCCACCGACCCCCACCCTCTGGGCTAGAAAGCCTCTTATTCTTGTTGAGCCTGATTTCTCTCCTCTCTTGCAGTACCCCTTTTGCAGTAGCCATCAATAAAGTCTTTCTTACCATTTTAACAAGTGTCAGAATAATTTTTTCTTTAACAGGGCCAAAGAAAACATAGGAAAATTTAAAACCCATCTGTAATGATCCCCAGCTATATAACCCACGTTAATTCTTTATTTTTTTAAATGTACATTTGTAATCCAAGCATACAACCACCACTGGAGCCAGCTTCCCCTAGAAAATATTGGGGATATGGAAATTCTATTTTCAGTTCCTCCGGAAGTTCTCCCTCAGTGTCCAGTGCACCTCCTGCTGCTCCCAGCTTGGCTACAGTCCACCTTACCCTTTAGTTCCTGACCCAAAGCTCCAGTTACCATCTCCCTTGAGAAGATGCTCTGTCTCGTAGCAACCCCCAGGGAGGAGCTGGTGTGTGTAGGCCATGCCCCTCAGAACCACCTACTCTTTTGTTTGCAACACCAGGGCCTGCAAAGGCTCTACTGGGTAACAGATTTAATAAAAGGTTGCCATAGCTCAAGACAATTAAAATGTAAGGCTGGACAACTTGAAACTGAGCACAAGATAGGATTTCCCCCATGTCCCCCCCCCCCATATTCCAGGGAAAGCAACCAGGGATTCAGTCCTCTACAGTGGGTGCCTCAATGGTGTACCTCATTTTTAACCTGGCTCCCCAGCTTTCAGCAGTCTTTGCTCCACACTTTGTCCATCTTCCCTTTGATGTGACTCTCCACAGGAGAACCAGCCCCTAACCTCAGAGAGGAAGCTTTCTTTGGGATCTCCCGTTCTCCGCCAAACATACATTTCCCAAGCCTCTGTCAGTCAAGCCATCTAAGTAACACTCTGGGTTACTTGGGTGGTCACCAACAGGGCTATTCAGTGATGGCCATTGGCACCCCAAGCATTGCTAAACAGCTGAGCAAGCCAGGACAGGTGAGGTCTGCAGGTTAAGTCCAGCCTCCTTCAAGGTCTCCCTAGCAGCCTGAGTTGCAACTGTGCTATGTATTCTTCCAACTATGCCAAGTAATTGTTGAATCG